CCTCCTCCTGGGATGGTGCTTGGCCAGCAGTGATACCATGTGCCTCGGGACACTGCTCCTCTTTCTAGCCTTCCCCCTTCTGACTGGCCATTCTTCCATTCTTCAGATATGTCAATAGGCTACATCAGATGGGTGTCACCTCTGTCAAGTCAGTCGCTTACACTCAGGCCCTAGACCCCTTCTGTTGTTGTAAGCTGACTTTAGCTATCTAAATGGATAGCTGTCTTGATGGGATCAAGACTAAAGTCGTAAGCAAGACTTTAGCTATCTTGATGGGATCATTTATATGATGATTTCGCACTACAATTCTGCGGTGGCAACCTTATTTCCTTTACTTTCATGTTCCTGGCAGAAGACTCACTGTACCTCCTATCAACACAGTGGAACCAAGGATTAGGGCTGGAAGGACATTGGAAATAACTCCCCCAGAATACAGATGAGGCTGCGGAATGTTTTCTTCCTCCTCACCCACCTCTTCTTCAACTGGGTTTTTTGGAGTTACAGCTCCCGATGGCTACAGCCTGGCTTTCTCTGAAGACCTAGCCAGCTACTTGACAGGCTTTTTTCAAACCATCTCTCACAACAGTGGCAATATTTCTTCTCATTTTGAGGCGTGCCAAATCTGTGTCCCTTCTGACTTCCTCTTGATGAAAAGCTGCCGACTTTGCATTGATTCTCAGAAGGAGTTATGACTTTTTGCACTACATTAATCTGCTTCGGAAGATTAGGATGTTTATTTTGGTGATCTCCATCGTGTTGCTTAACTATGCCCCCTTTAGCCATTTACTTGGTGGGAGGGTTGGTAAAATTGAAAACAGGAAGAGAAGGAGAAAGAACAGGAAGAAGAAAATGATTATATAATTCTACTAAGTTCTCATCCCCCTAATTGTAGCAAATTCCTTTAAAACAAACATTAAAATGAATACAGGCGTGGGGAGGGCCAGTTGAGGAGGGACTAGCCGTAAGTGCCTACAGGCTGAGGACCCTCTCATTCTTTTGATACACGGAGCCCTTTGGTTTATTCAATGTGTGTATCTCTGGCTGAAGGAGCTTTTCTATTCCAGAAGAGGCAATAGTATTAAACTCATCTACCATGTATTGCAGAACCTTCCTCTCAAACTCATTCATACCTGTGCTTCATTTCCTCAGTGCAAGTTTAACAATGTCTCATCAGACAAGAATTAGGAATTAACTGTGCCAGTGTTGAATTTAAAGGTGTTGACTTGGACAAAGCTCATTCTTCTCTCTGTGCCTTCAGTTTCCTGTTTTCTAAAATGAAAAGCCTGATGACATCATTGCTTAATTCCCTTTCTGCTCTTCATTTTTAAATTCCTCGTTCTGAATTAGCTTACCTGGTATCATGCTTCCTTTCTGTCTACCTATCATCTATTTATCTTTCCCAAGTATTTCTGAGGTTGTTTCAGAGATGAGGTTTAATCTAATGAAGCTTAAGTCTTAGAATTACTCACCAGAATCCTTCTAACCTTAAAAAAATAAATTTCATATCTAACTTTACATTTAAAGTTAATATTCTTTTTCTCAAAGAGAGCTTCCGGATTTGAAAATGGTTTGGACCCCCCACAAAATCTATATTTTCCCTGGGGTGGCTTCAGGAAAAAGACAAATACAAATAAAAGTATCCAAATAGGGGGTTAAAAAAAGATGTGAAAGAAGGAAAGGAAAAGAAAGGAAATAAGCCAAATATTAAATGAGTTTACCCAGTTCAGCACCAGGTTGCGTTCTGAGCCTCTGCACTTTCTAGAAGGCAGAGGGGTGAGGATCATATTGTATAAATCTGGCTACCAGAATGAAGGAAATGTTCAGAGAGAACAAAAATACCCATTAATACTGAACTCTGAGAAATATCTCAGGAATATTTTATAGGGGACAATATCATGTTATGGCCAAAAGTATATTCATTTGATAGAAACTGTTTTGGTAACAAGGGATAAAGTTTGGCTCAAATATGTACTTTGAGCAGCTTTTCTGTACCAGGCATTGTCCCGGGCAGATACTAGAAATACAGGAAGGATTGAGACATAGTGACTGTCCCTCAGACCTCTCAGACAGACACACAAACAGTTAAATGGAAGTTGATAAGTTTTCAGGGACGCCTGTGCAAAGAGGTGTGTGATCACAAGGAGTGGCTAGTTCACATCAGAGAGATGAAAAAAGAAGGGAAAGAATAAATTCCAAGCTCAGTTTTAAGGGTAATACGCATTACCCATGATACTTGTTACTTTACAAGGAGTGTTTACAAATTGCCAGCACGTGTCTAGATAATTTTCCCGAGCATAATCTGACTCTCATTCCCGTGCTTCATGGGCACTGTCAGTGTTGTAAAATGGAATTGTATTCATTGATTCATCCTTTACAGACCCCACAGAAGCCCACCTTTGGTGAATGGTAGCCCTCCTGTCTTTTTCTTAGAAGGCTTCTCATGACTTACGTGTCCCCTTTATGATGACTGTAATGGGTTTATTAAATTCTCTAGTTGTCTATAGAGAACAAGGTGTTTGGACAGGACAATAAGGAACATTGGAGAAAAAAAAAATAACATTTGAAAATGTGCTTGGTGTTCAGACATTTTCTACTTCAAAAATCTTGATGCCAGTGAACAGTTTAAAAATCTTTTCTAAGAAATTCCCATTTTACAGCAATGGAATAAAAAGTGGCTTAGGCACCACCCCCAAAATTTGTAAGCCACAAATGAGGAAGAGGCTAAATTTTAAGCATCCAAAATGTAAGAAATAGAAAACATCTTCATGAGGAAAATAGGATCTGAGAATGGCCTTGCTTGGCAAGCTTTGTACAGCTGCAGTGAACATTTCTCCCTGCACTGGCATCCCAAAGGAATGGAAACATTTCTGCATCTTTCTAAAGTATTCAGCTGCAGCAAGTGCTGCATTAAAAAGTCTTGCAGGTTTGCTCTCCGTGGTGCCTGGCCAAACACCCTGAGAACTTGGCGTTGCATTATGCATGGCTCTCGAACTCCATGTAAGTTTCAAAACACCTGAAGAGTCTCTTCCTGCCATCCTAACTTCCATTCTCTTTGACGGATTACAAAAAGCAAGCAGTTTCGATGGAACACTATTTTCAATCATGGGGAAAGTTGGAGCTTCTGCATTTGATACTAAAATTATGATGCTGCCATCATACCTCACTCAACAGGGGACTTACAAAGGGGAAAAAAAAAAGAAAGATTCAGTACCAAGTCACTGCCACGCTGCAGCAAAGATAGTCTGCCAAAGTGTCGGTCAGGAACTCAGCAGTCCTTTAAAGAAACTGCATTCAGTTCAGAGGACAGAGTTAAAGCACAGAAATGGAAATTTAGATTTCTAGTTTGGGTCAAAGAGTAATCACTAATTAAGCTGAAGCATCATAAACCCTGCGCGTTTTAAAATCAAGAGATTTTGAATGTATTTAATAACCAAAAACACAGTTTCATTCCTTCCAAGGTTTTTAAAAAATCATGGTAAGTTTTAATTCCCTTTTATCCCCTCCCCATTAGGAAATAGGAAAATAGCTCTTGATTTTAAAGAACACACGGCTAGAAATCTCGGAGTAGGTTACAGCGATTAAATAAGTTACGCTAAATGTCAGATGTTAAACCAAGCAGAGGGCAGTTGTTCAAAGATAAATACTAAAATAGAAGTTTAATGATTCCTACATTTACCACCTGTTAGAAGCACACCCAGCAATGTGGAGAATAAGTCTGAACAGCTCATTAACAGCTATCCCTTATTGACAGTGTACCATGTGTCAGACATTTTTATGGATTATTTCATTCAATCCTCACAGCAGCCCTACACAGTAGATAGTATTAGCCCCTTTCAGTTGAGGAAACGGGCATAGAGAGGCTGGGAAGTTGCCTGGAAACACCCAGCTGGTCCGTTGCAAAGCTGGCCTGTCACTCAGTTCTGTCTGAATCCTGTCTCCTGCTCCCATCCACACCGCTACCCCACTTTAGTGGAAAAGATATAAATCTCTGACTCTTAATTAGCAATATCTGTCAGGGTATCACTTGCCTGATGAACCCACTATATCAATAACAGTAATCATAGCAAAGATGGATATAGTACACACTACCCGCCAAGCAGCATTTTGAGTACTTTACATATATCAATTTGTCTAATCTTTGCAGCAACCCTAAGAGGTAGGAAATCAAGCTACGGACAGCGTAAGCAACTTGCCGAAGGTCACACAGTCAGTGAGTGTAAGAGCAAAGCTTCAAACCCAGGCAGCCTGGCTCCCGTGCCCTTGCTCTCGGCCAGGGGTTTTCATCTGGGGACGGACTAAATTCATGTCAACGTTTGTACCAAGTCCATTGCATTCTGCAATGGTGCCACCACCTTAGTGCAACCTGTAAATTAAACTGGAAGCTGGGAAAATGGATGAACTGCATGATCAATATGAACAACCTAATGTATTCTTGAATTATTCTGCTCAATTAAGTTTCTATTACAGAGTTTAATCTACATATCTGACAAGTAAAAGAGGACTGAAAATGATGGTAATGTGAAATTAATCAAATAAAGGGCCAAATGACTTTTAATAGCTAACATACGCATCTCACAACACATTTAAAGAGATCTATTGCACATGTTGGAGATATTTACACAGGTCCATGTAGTATATATCTGGCACTCTAATATGCCTGGAATATAAGCCTAGCTAAAAATCTGTTTTGAACCATATACAGTTCCACAAAATGTTCGTGAACCTTACGGGCAGGCACAAAATGTTTGATGTCATGAAGCAGTCTTGAGCCAGCTGTTGAAGTTGAGCATTCATTTCCCAACCCCGATAACTTCAGGAGTTCTAGAATGAAAGCAAAACGGTTCTGATGGATGACTATATGTCTTGCTGTTTCTGTGCATATTTCCTACTGATCTGAATGTTATTCACTGTTAAGTTTCTGAGATTTTTATATGAAGTTAAAGATATCATGTATTAATAACTGTCTAACAGTTTTTCTTTATTGTTTTGTTTCTTTCCAGGTATCCCCAGTATTTCCAGTATTGGTAGTAAGTAAAAAAAAAAAAAATCACCAAACCAAGTCTAGGCTAGTTTTGTTTTCTTGTTGGGCTCCTAAGACCTATTTTCCCAGTGTCCATTTCTGATGGAAGAGGGTATTTTCTTGTGAATTGAACTGTTGCGTTTGTTCTGTGCACAGATATGGTGAGAGCACAGATAAAAGAGTTATCTGTGCATAACTCTTCTGTGGATATGATAATACCACAGCTTTCCTGACTACTTTTGATCAATGAAGGCCACCTTTACAGAGGTGCAGTTACTGAGGTAATCATAGCTCATGTAACCACAATAAAAACAGTCCTATGTACTCATATTAAGTAACCAACAATAGATTCAACTTTCTCTTTGGGACTGGATATGGATTTTTACCATAATTTTTAAAAGCAGAGAATGAATACCAGCAAATGCTTTCGGCATATTTATTAGCGCCCAAGAAAACCAGGGGGAGGGAATTTTAGTAATGTATTGCTCTCTAGTCTTTGTGAAGGCCTGAAAGAGGCAGGTTGGTGGTCATTAGTCTTTCTGGAGGAATGAAGGAATGTATGTCCATTTCTCCCTCCTAAAATACAGTGATCCATCTCTTCCTGACCACTTAGGCTTAAGTTTGATGGAGAACGGGGCATAAAGAATATATGCAGAACTGAGGAATCCGGCTACTAGAAATTCCTGCAAGAAATCTTTTAGTAGAAATACAAGCAACAGAAACGTTTCTCTATGGAACGTTTCTCCACTGCCATTGCAGAGAGCATCTTCCTTGCTGTTGTAGGAGAACCAGCTGGTAGCTCCTCCTTCACATATAAAACCCCAACACCAAGCCTGAAATGCTCATTAAGGAAATGCCCCACAGGGTTTTTATATATCGCAGCCTTTCTCTCTGACGGCTAAAACCTTTGAACAACTGCTGAATTAACTGATTCAAACTAGAGTACTGAGGAAGCCGAGATTATGCGCTGAAAGTGAGGAGGAGAATTTTCACTGTGGTCTCACCCCTTCCAGACTTCCTCATGGGTGCTGTGCCACCTAGGGTGATTGCAGTGTAAACAACAGCCACTGAAGTGTTGCGAAATCCAACATCCATCTAAAAGTGACACTCTGATAGTTTGGATAAAACAACTTCCCCCTTCTTACAAATGCACAGGCTGGTCTTCCAATTTGTAAAGCAACCCAGTTTACTTAGGTTTGTGCATAGGCCCGGACACAGATTTGTTAAGCGCTGGGCATGTTAAATGCCATGGAAGTCAGCAGCATTGTAAATAGAAGTAGCGTTCCCATCCTTTTAGATACCAACCTAATGTTACAGCGTGGCCTTTATGATCTTATTGAAATGGTATCTGTGCTGCAAACTTAAAGATGAAACCTTCAGCTCTAATAGTCTCAGGGTTCTGCTTTAGTATCTCTTCTGGCATTTGCCTAATTGTGTGTGTGTGTGTGTACACACACACACACACACACACACACACACACACACAAACACACCCCACAGTAGGCTCCTTTCAGGCCTTGACAGTTTCATTTGCATATGCATTTGTGAGCAAAGGGGAACCAAATGGAACACAGATAAACCCAGACGTTTGAGGCTATCCAATCTTCAGAAATGGATGGATGGAAAGTAGTTCTTTGGCGCTGGGGTGTGTATCTGTTCACAGTGTCAGTCGTGTGTTGCATGGACTCTCTGACTGTACAGCTCACTGGACATTTCACCGGCCGCCTCCGCCACATGCCCCATCTCTGAGCATCAGCAGATGTTGACCTTTTACACCCTGATTCAGGAAATCCCACTTTTGTTTTGCTTTGTTTTATTTGAAATCGGTGGTGACCCGAAAGGATGCTTTGTTGTGCCTTTGGCAAATGTATCAACCTTTTTGATCAGGTTTGACCTTCTTGATCAGGAACCTAGGAAAATTTAACTCCTTAATGCCTAACGGGAGACCACTAACAAATAAAGTGATAGCTTGTAACTTCACCTCATTGTGCCTTTGGCGGCTCTGTCTGGAGCGCAGTGGGTGGTTCCTCAGATTTCTGCAGCAGACAGGATGTGAAAGCTTCCAGGAGTCACCCAACATCACACACAGTGAGCTTGCCTATTGCTGGCTTTTAAGTCAAGAGATTCACAATGAAGCCATCAAACATGATTGTATCTCTTAGGCTGCTTAAATGGCATTCACACACTCCTTCTTTGTGGGCTCATAAGGTGCTCCTGTGTGCACTGGTGGATTCCTTTCCTCTCCAAAGGGCAAGAATTTTTGCATAGATGACTCACTGCCTATTCCACAGGGTGTAGGAAGGAAGGTATAAGCTAGAGAAGAGGGAGTTGCTTGGATTTTTAACTAAGTTTGGGTGTTTCCTGGGGCTTTTCCCTTTGTCCCAAAGAAAGAAGCAATGAGCATAATTCCAGCAAGCATATAGACAATGCCATTATAACAGATGTAACATTCGTGAGACTCCCATCATCAAAGCATATATCAAGGAAAGGGAATGATATATACTATTGATGTAAATTATTGATGTATGTAACTGTAAGTTCACATACATATGCTATACACACAGTGACTAAAGATTTTCGAGCCCTAATAGATTTCAGTATAGATCTCAAACTGTCAACACCGGTATTAAGGTTCAAAAGCATGGACGGAGTGGTCATCCTTTCCGATCATCTACTAAAAATGTTTTTGAAACAAATTTCCCATTAAGATCATTTGTACCTGCTGTTGTCTATTTATTAGGAAATAGGTTTCCCAATCATTTCAAAGGTCCTTGATTTAAAACTTGGTCATTTTGATGCGCTTTTGACTATGGCTGAAAAAAAATACTCCTGATATTGTCAGCAATTAATGAATCCCAAAATATATCTATAGTCATTTGAGCCTTGTGATCTCTGTTTTTACTTTACCTAATGGGGCAGTAATTCATTTAGGTTTCATTCTTTTTTCTTAAAATGTATCACACACAGATAAGGAAACATTCACGATTTTACCCAAGTGAACATTTGTTGATGCTGATGGCGCAAATTAAGAGTTGGTTTGGTGTGGGTGTTTTTGCTAGAGTAATAAACTAACGATCACCTCCTAGCATATATTATCTGATCCCGAGTCCTGAAAAGCAAGGGATTCCCCTAATATGTTAAACATTATACAGACCATAATTAGAACAAGAACAGGCCTAACATGCACATAGTTTTGTGTGGGTTATTATCACTTAAGAAAGCAGATGACGATGAGTCGGAGATTAAAGGTAGGCCAGCCACAGAAATGAAAGATCACATCAGGAAACATCGTTTCAAACAACTTCAATATTTTTTAATAAATAAAAATATTTCTTAGAACAGCAACAAAAGAAAAGAGAACCCAAGTAGACATTATTTCTTTACAGTACTTTTAAGTGACTGAGACCATGATATGTAAAGCATAGAATATTGATGGAAGTGTTTGGCTACCCTCCCTTCTGTGCCTCATTCAATTAGAAATAATGGTTCCATTTTCCTGTTTTCTCTTATAATGAGCATTGCCTTCGTCATGGAGTTAAACTTCATCTCTACTTTGATTTCACAGACAGGACTGGGAAACAAGGGAAGTGCTACCTGCAGGGAGCCATCAGTCTGTTGAGAAAGCCCAGAGATGTTTTCATACTTGAAAATATTTGGTGCCAGTTGGAGACTTTGTAACAGTTGTGTTCCATACAGCATCCAGATATTTTTGTTCAGTACGGATTTACTGTAGAAACCTGGATCGTGAGGAAAATAACAAGGCTAATCATTTCCCCACCCAAGGGTTATTAGTAATCATTTTCATGCTATCCAGACATCTGCAGTGTTTGTTTGGGTTTCTTTCCCCTTTGCTTTAATACTTCTAAATCCCCCCAAATAAAAGTTTCATTTGAATTGCCCTTTAACTAATTAGGTTTTATATAATGAGAAAAAAAAATGATCAGGCTAGTGTTGCTATATGGCAAATTGCATGGTGTGCTACATTAATTTTGAACTGTTTGCTGATGTTCTGGAAGGAAAGCCCAGGTCCCAGGTGAAATGCCTTTGGGACTCTGTTATATCATGTACCCAGTATCCTCATCTCAGATCCATTTCATATTTGTGTAACTAGCATTTCACATTCATGAAACCTTTGTGGTTATCCTAAAATTGAATGAACATTAGGACATAGCTGCTGCTTTAATTCTGAAGAATAAATCAAATACTACAGTGAAGAAGGGGGAAGTATCCCCTACCTAAAGAAAAAAGAAATGAGAAAGTTACTAATATTGTCAAAAATCACCTACCTTGAGCAAACTGACTTTTTTCATGTGTTAACCTTTTCCCAGGTGAATTTAGAACCTCAGGCCAGTTTTTAAGTGTGAGCTGCTATCTGTTCCTTTGCTATTATTTCTGTGTAGGGGCATCTGGAAATTCCTAGCATAAACAAAGATTAAGCAAGATCTCTGAAAGGCCCCACGGTGAGCCTCAAACATGTAACTGTGAACTCCCGCACTAAGTGTGTGGATATCACTGACATCTCGGAGTATAGATATGGAGCTGGCCAACGAAGTACTCCACTTCCCGGGAAGAGTTAGACAGTGCTTTTGCTCAGAACTGGAGGGAGATGTTCCCACATGTCTATCTAATTCCATTTTACAAATGGTGAATCTGAGGCTCAGAGTGGCCGAGTCATTTGACCAAGGTACCAATGTAACAAGAGCAGGAAGGCCCATCTGACTCCAGAAGTTATGCCCATAACATTACACCAAATGGAAGAGCTCAGAAGGAAAAATTCTAGATTTATTGACTCTTATTGCAGTCTCTTTCAAATCTACCACACTGCCACCTTAGACCAATTGATCCCTGAATTAACCCATTTTTGGCACAGAGAAATTTAGTGTCCTAGAGAAAAAACAGAAGTTCATTTTTTGGTACCTCACTGTGTTGTCAACAGAAGTTATAAGCATCATGTCTTAGTAGAGGAGGTAGGGGACTGTGACCTCCACCACATTAATATATGCCAGT